TCCCGCTGCTCCTCGGCCTGGGCCTTAACCCACTTGTTCACCTTCGCGGCCAGGGCCAGAAGCCGGGTTGGGAAGCTGCGCCAAAGATCGGGGGCTTTCGATGCGGAACTCGGAAGTGTAAGAAAGTCTTGCATGGCACAGGATACAATCGTGCGCAAAATCCAAGGAAAACAGCTGGGACCGCTCTTTGGCCGAGCCGCGTGCAGCAGCTTCGGTCCCAGGCCCGCTTTCGCATCCGAGGAAGCGGATCTGGGCAAACAGCTCTGCTCAGCTCTGCCGTCCTCGACTCCTACGTCCCCTCAGCCCCTTTGCCTGCGCTCGACGTCCGCAAGGCGCCGTTGAATGCGGCAGAGCTCAGCCTGAGAGGCGTCCAAAGCAAACACTAAAAGGAAAGAGGCGGCTCCGAGCTCTCAATTTCCCTCAGCCCGGCCTGCGTGTTGGCCTTGCGCAGCTCGGCCGCAGCATCGATCACCTCTGGACGTCCCCCGCAAGGTCTCTGTGGACTTGTGAGGTCAGGGCGCCTTCTGCGGCTGCGTGAGCCGCTGCGCGACCACCTGGCCAGAAAAGGCTCTGAGAAACACAGAGAGATCCACCAGGGCCCCCGCGTGGCCTCGGTGCTACGTGAGGTTGCGGATTTCGTGGGCCTTGCCAGGTCACCGGCCAGGCGTTGCTTCTCCAGGCGCCGCAGGCGAACCTCTGCATGTGCACCAAGTCTCTTGGTGACGAAAGAATGGCTCTTCGGCTTCAAGCCATGGCCTCCTCACCGGCGATGAAGTCGGGCATCTCAAAATCATGCGGATGGTCCTCAAGAGCCCCATCTGCCGACACGTGCTTCACACCTGCCAGTGTGGGAGTAGGATCTCTGCGCCCCGTCGCAAGACTCGCTTGGACACTCCAAGAGCACTCCGAGTGTCTTTCACGTTGAAACGAAATTCGTCAGGCGGCCGTGGCCGGCAACAGCCAAGCGTGAGGCGACGGCAGCGCGATGATCTTGCCCTGATCTGAGGGCTAGACTTGCAAGTGTTGGGCAGGACCAAAGCTTCTTTTGCATCAAGGCAGACAAGCTTGGGATGCAAAGTGGGAATCTTTGGCTCGGATTGGGGATGGAAGCATGAGGGCTTGATTGGAACTTCCATTCTGTTCTGCGGTGATGTCAGGTGCTTTCGAGCACGGCTCCATCGCCATGACCATGATAAGTGCACGCGGACTTTCAGACAAGACACGCCAGTCCGCTTCCTTGCCTGCATGCACAGTCTCA